AATAAACGTGTTTTTCCTTAATGTTCAGATTATTAAATTTTTAATTAAAAAAAAAAATTAAATATTAATATTAATATTAATATAAATAATCAAATCAATATCTTTAGGGTAAATAAATAAAAATTTAAAAATTTGATTAACTAAATAAATGGAAATTACAAGTAAACAGAGGTTAAATAATGCAAAAGATTTTATTTTTATTATGATTGATTTTCATTCTTTTGAGGCTCTTGACCATAAGATTTATTTGCATGTTCTTGAAGTTCTTGACAATTTTATAATTTAAAATCTATATAAAAAAAGTATTTTACTAAGTAATTAAATATTTAATTTTCCATTTTAAAGTAAATAAAATATCGAATACCTTATCCCAGTCAAGTTTATGACGAGTCAAAGGAGGAACGTAGAAAGAACATTGGAGAATTGGAGTAATTTTTAGGAAAATATCTCAAATGATATTCTAATTAATTTATCAAATTCAATGAGAAGCAAATATAGATGAGATAGAATGGATTATTAAAATTTTCATGAAATAAGCTTGATATTAAACTGCAATAATTCTGCCAGAAAACCGGTTTCTGAGGTTTTGAAGAAGCCATGCTTTTGTCAATAACCAGAGATTTATACCTTTGTATTGATCGATGCCTCTTTTTGTTTACAATAGCCCAAGTATCTTGTATGAATGTGGAGCAAAACTTATATCTTTAGTGATGAGGAATTATGAGAAGTGTAAGAAAAGCAACGTGACTGTTGAAGGATTTCTCTCATATGGAAAACTGGACAATTGGAAATAAAAACAACTCGATGTGTAACGTTTGTATTTATACATAAGGCTAATATTAAATTTCCAGGGGGGACGTGGCCCTGGAATTTATGGAAATCGCATCATTCATTGTCAAGGAAACTGCTAAAATTAGCGTTGGCCTTTTTCCATTTAGCTGATCACCACTAATGAGTCACTGTGCCTGAGTCAATGGGAACAAATCTTTATTTATCTTATTTGAGGCGTGGACAATAGAACAATATCAATATCTATGATATTGACATTGACCTTGTTTTTATTGTCCTCGCCCATTTACTTAATACATAATAATATCAAACTATTAATTTAACGGTAATTATAGAAAAACTACCAATATTGAAATGACTGAAAAGAATAAAAGATGCAATTATATAGTAAATACCCTTGAAAAATACATTTTAAAAAATTAAATTTCGTGCACCTTAGAAATTTCTTTGTAGTCCGATTGGCATAATAATTTACCACGTGATTTACTTTAACATTTAAACGAGAAGCAAGCAATTTAATATACAAAATATGCCGTTGGTTAAAGGTTTATTTATTTTATTTATTACAATTAATTCATAATTTATTCAAAACTTTCAAGTATCTTACTTTTTATCTTTTTATTCAAGTTGTTGTTAATTGGAGTAAAAAGAAGCACGAGTTGG